CGACGATCAAGAGATCGCAGGCAGAGATCGAACGTAAAACATATGCACACATACTCACATGGATAGAATGTTATTCAGGTACACGAAGACAGATGTAGACTTGTTCGTTGCTGAACATTCATACAAACCAACGGAGATATCATACAAAACACAAATGTAATATATATATATCCCTAGCCGAAGATTCTTCTGTTACTATAGTAACAATAACACAACGACAGGACGGCTTCTAACTAGATCTAATATGATTCAACACATCTTCAGCTTTGAGAAGCTCAAAAAAAAGGTTAGGCAGATATCGTTTCGACCGACAATCGGAAAGATGGTTTTGTTCCAGTGTTCGAGAGAAGCACATCTGAGGTTTGGGGATAAAGTAGCCGAAGTAGTCGAAGAATGATGATCGATATCGTTGCCGATTCTGATGCTCATTGTGTACAAATTTCAGCAAATTTGATGCTCCTCCTATTTAAGGAGTTGGCAAAAAGCAATTTGGTATTTGTGCATAATTAGTCAATGTAAGTTGATTAAGTCTAATACTACATAGGAAGAAAAAATGTGTTGATTAGGCCACCTGCAGCGTGTCATCATCTATGCGTTTATTAACTATCAATGTTCAACTAAACTCAGTGCCGAGCTGGAAGACAAAGATCGAAGAGTAAAAATGAAAGAAGTCACAGAAAGACAGTTCTATGACCGAAACACGCGAACGTTTGCTGCTGATTGAATAAAAGATTTCTAACGAATACTTATTTATCAAGCATCACTGAACGCCCTATACTTTAAGGAAAGCTTTTTGAAAGAAACTATTTTGTCCAGAAGTTTCTGAGCGCTACGGGTAAGACTTGTCAATATTACTATGAAATTTTGCTCTGACAAAATAAAAGGATCGTACTTATAGTCGATTCTTGAAATACAGAATCAAGACGAAAGCTACTCGGTGGAATTGTCGCTGGCTTGTGATAAAAGCAAATGTCAATTTGTTCAGAAACGTATTATGTGACAACTTTATGCTCGATTATTTGTTCGATCTGATATGTACAGCAGGACAAATCAGGCTAAAAATAATTGCGATTTCTAAGAACATCGGTCCTATTGTATGTTTGTTTGACAAACTTCAAGTTCATCCATTTGATAGCTGTCTTACGCCCCTGTAAAGAACATAAACTGTACTGCAATAACCTTCCGATTTGCTGCCGTACTTATTGCGTAATAATTGTTAGTAATTACGATGGTTATACATTATACAGTTAACAACAAGAAGTTTTTTCACGTATCACAGTTATGTCTAAGACCGTGTCCATGACGCAAAACATTTCCGCCTATCGCGCTTGTACCCGACGGCCAGCATATTCTCATTCGAAGCGACGTCGATCGGACCTAGTAGTTCGAAAATGGTTGAGACACTTGTCGCCAGTGCTCCCATAAATAAAAATAAATACATTACTATAGCAGAGTGAGCACTCCCTTTCCATCTAAGGAACATAGCTCTGAAGCAAACTGCGAATCCAAGAGAAGCACGTGCTTAGCTCAAGAGGCAGCAGAAGCAACGTAAGTGCCCCCCCCCCCCCCTCGTCTAACCCCCATCTACTCTGCTATGGCATCCATATAACAGTACTACTGCACGCTGCAGATCCAGTTCATCGTCGTCGGCCTGTAGGCAACGTTGGATCACACCTTGAATTATGGAGTGGATGGGTGGATGAATGGAGGAGGGACCTTACAGCATTGGGATGCCGGATTAGTGAGTTTGGTCAGGGCACAAGAGGAAAAACGAGCTGAGACTGATGGCGGCGCCAGCGGCGGTGGTGGTGGTGACTGCTAAAGGACGATGGGCGCTGAAGAGAGAAAAATCTTTGCCAGCGAGCAGTTGCTGACAACTTCCATCATCCGAAGCCTGACGCAGTTTCACAGACTGCTTGTCCAGCTAGGCAGACACACGCCCCAAGTGAGGTAGCACTGTCGTAATGCAGCCGCTTTTTCCCCCTCCTTAGCGACCCCCGCTAGTGGCCCGTTTAGCGTTGCAGCTCACGATTCGCAATGATGCCAAGAAACCTCTTGAGGTGAACCCTCTGGCCTTTTCTCATCCGTCGAAACCACTTATGGTAAGGTGGCAGCAGTCTTAAGGCAAGCGGGAGATGTGACGATCTGCTGCTGGGGAACTGCCGTGGGTGTACTTTGCCGTACAGCAGAAACTAGACCAGGCAGCGCGGCATGACATAGGATACGGGTTTAGGGACAGAGTTCGACATTAGTCATGTGGCGCCACAACGACTAGCTCAGAGTACGCAGGCCTGCGCCCCTCGAAACCTCAAAAGTTATGTGTCTTCGTTCGGTGGACGTGGGTGTCAGCAGGCAGTAATTTAAGTGGATATAGGTAACAAGTGCTCGGTAACTAGTATCAGGCTATTAGCAAAGGATCAATTGCATGCTACAGTTATATGGGCCAAACTATTTCGGTAAGACATTCGAGCAAAGCTATAGTGGAACTTTTTCATGGAATAAAAACAAGTATCTACATTTGCTGCACATGTAGTAGACATCGCACCATAATGATTGATCAGGATTCACAACTGCGAACGGAACTGCGCGCCAAATTTCAAAGAACACATTCTGAGGTCAACGCGGTTCGAAAAGAATCATCATATTGACAGTCTGTGGTCATAGTGGTTTAGATTTCGTACATTTTGAATGAATTTTTCGGTGCGTTGTACAGTTAACAACGCTCAGATCAGACAGTGAACATACTCTAACTGTCACCAATGTGTGTATATACACGTTATATAATAGTATAAGATATAGGCTTCGTCTAGAGCGAACCAATTCGACAGGAAGTACTATCCCGCTCTGAATTTTACTCGTGATGAGTATTGTAAATTGTTTATGGAAAGTGAGCAAAGATGACTGAAAAACACATCAACGTTATATGTTTATATAACAATACAATGGGATAAATTTCCGACGCTCCATGTCGCAAATGGATGTACATATTTACTATAAGCTTGTCCAGTTGTTCAAGCCAATGCATGTAGCAGTTCTTTACGGAACATTTTCGAAAAGCGTTTCTACTGAAGCATCCACTATCTTTAGATATAGCTCGGTTCGGATGGTTGTCTTAGGGACATCCTCTAAAGCTGACCTCATATGCTCTGCATTCTACTTCTGTGCTACAGTTTAATGAAACAAAGTTTTCAGCTGCTTAATAATACTAGGTTGATTACTAATTTTGAGCCGATTTGAAAAATCCTTACTTATAAGTAAACACGAAGGCCACCAACCTTCTTTCGAGTCGTAAACACATTGTTTTTAACTTGATGTCCTAACTACCTTTCACTCGTTCCAGCGATCTCCTTTAATCCCATTAAATACCTAGAATTTTTTTTTCTTTATGATCACGCTTTTTAAATCTTGGGAACAAGCATTAGTTGCAGAGTATGGAACGTATGAATGCAGGACTTGGGGTGGACGGACATCGAAAGGTATAATGAAAATTGACATTGTTGCTAAACATTACTAACAAAATTAACATTGACACCGCGCGCGAAGTGTCAACAGGCATATAAGGTCGATACAGAACCTAAAATGCACCCTTGCAGAAGCTAGGGACAGTAAGCACTCACCATGCTTCCTTGATTTTTTCCAAATATCTTAGGAATACACTCTCTGTATAACTGTAAAATAACAACAAGGCCAAAGATTGAAGTTGGCTGCAATGTGTTTCTTAATTTTTATCACACTTTTTATGCGGGCATTATTAAGGGTCACTTGTGTGAGAGGCACGGCTTGCTGTCTTCCCTGAGTTCGTCCTACTTGACTGCTAAGCTTTATTAATTGGTTGGCCCCTGCACTATAATATTTGGCACAATTCCTCATTCCGGTTTCTTTTGTAGCGTTTAATGTACAAGCACGTCGCTCCTAATATATATCCAACGACATCTTGCAGTATGAGGTGCCATAACGACTAGTGATCTGATTCCGTTTGAGTATCAGAACAGCTGCCTCATATGAAGAACGATATTTAATTAAGAACGAGCCAAAAACTTCTGGCCCTCCATTTACGTCGGAACTCGTAATAATCCGCAATATTTTCAACCAGCCTTCATATATTAATTTTATTGTAGCTTTTACTAAGCCAATAAACTTACGAGAATACATCCATCTTTGGCTCATCATCATTTTTCGACAGTCGTAAAGGTGATCAATTCCCAGTAACCCGTCTAATGACTATATTCTGCAGTTTCGCCATACAAAAAAGTACTAATTAAGCATAAAGGCTTACGGTCGGTTTTAGGGGTTATGGAAGCCGACTGTGAAAAATGACTTTCATCACTTCGATTGTTCGACTTACGCTGTTGACTTCGGCTGAAAAATGTCTTCTGTTAGTCCCGCATTATTGAGGTTAATTAAAAAACGTAATGAAGTCTTCCTTATGACGGTCTGCTTTTTCGTTTCGTTTCGTTCGACAAACAAAAAAAAATATATATATATATGTATACTCAGTAGCTAGTCAATTTAGGAACAGAGAATATAAAAAAAGGTTACTGACTTTCAACGGAGCTTCATGAAGTCGTTTTTTGGTGACTGACCTAGCGTAGAACAGGAAGTCGCCCTTGTAGAAATGTAAACATGTGCATTGTCCGCTTGTTTTCTAAAGAATTAAATTGGAAATGATGGAAGTAGGAGGAAACTATGCTAACTATTCATAGTGAGACTATGCGCTCAGCGAGACGATATTAGATAGCTTAACAACTCACCGCTGTACACGATCTCTTAAGGGTCGCACAGATAATAAATCACAGCAAACTAACTGTGAACAGGAGCTCAAGTCATTTATTGCTACTTTATGACGGATTCAAGCAATTGGGGTGCTAACTGCAATGTTTATGTCACTGTACTTTGATAGTCTTATTATAGGTTCGTTTCGGAGGCAGTGTCTTGTAGTAGCATCCATTTAGGACACCTGATCATCCATCACAGCTATTTTCATATTGTCTATTACTTACTTTGACTTTGGCGGTCGTTCATGTCCCCATGGAGATTTACGAGAAGCTCCAGCTTGCCGCCTAGCAGCTCTTGTTGCTGACCGTGCTGTTGTGTATTGAGGGGATTTGGGCCACCTTCGGTGGTCTGCGGGGGTGCCCGATCCCTCAGCGGGTCCCGGAGAGACTCGCGGAGGGTCTCCCGCAGGGGACTTAGCGGTTGGCCGGGCGAGTCTAACCCGTCAAAGCGAAGTTCCCGCGAGGTATGATGTCCGTGTGGACCGTGCGGGTGCGGGGGCCCACCCAGCGGCTGTGGCGGGCCCGCGTGAGAACCCAAGGGGCCTGTACCAAGTTGTTCCCCGCCGCCGACGCCGCCGCCTCCCCACTCAACCAGGCTCCCCAGGGTGGTGCCGAGCGCCACACACGCCACAACGCCCGCGCCTCTTGCGGGCACCCCTGGCGCCCGCCCTCCTCCCTACGACGTACGAGGGGGTCCAGTCAGCCAGCCAGCGAAGTGACCAGCAAACCACCGGCAGCAACGGCAGCACTGCAGCTGGTATCGTTGTTGGAAGCGGTAGCAGCAGCAGCAGCAGCAGCAGCAGATAGCAGCACGTATGGTCGACACACTGTCTTCAATTCACCACCTATGCCACTTTCACTGCCATCCGTCCGTCCGTTTTCACAAGTAGCTCCGCCACCTTAACTTACACGCAATGGATTTGGACGCACGTTGTGGCCTCCCGTTTTATGGGCTCGCGTTATTGTCAACACGTCACTCAATCACACTGTACGCTCATTATGTACTCACTTCCGGGAGACAATAAGAAGCACGTTACGTTGCCCATCTTCTATTGTTCCGTACAATACCATACAGACAATCTCGCTGTTTGTACGTACTCCAGAAATCTACTGGTAATTCGTTCCGAACTTAAAACGCACTACCAGCACAGACAGTTTCTGCAAACAACGTTTCGTGTGTGTTACGTTGCACGTTCACCGCACGGAACGAATCGCGTCCACTTCGTCCTTGTCTTTTGCTATTGACGTTGTCGTTATTGATACAGGGGTCTCGTTATTGTTGACCGGCGTAGTTCTGCCAGCACGCGCGAGTCGACTGCCCTACAGACCATGTTCTAAATAGAGAAACAGCCACACCATTGCACACACGCACAGAACAAACACTTCTGACCACAGGCACAGATAAACGGATACGTAATCGCTCCTTTAAGACAGCACGCTCGAAACACACATGAACATTTACTAATCAGCAGAGGTACATCGCCACCTACACTATCGAAATGATTCGAATCATTGTCGTCGGCATTATTATTATCCACTTCTCGACCCCACCTCCGGTGAGAGTCACCTGTTAAAGCGATGAACACCCAACTCTCCACAACAGGACCACTAAACGATTACCATTAGCGCTACAGCTGTCGCAGCTGTTACTCAGTCTGAAAAAAAAAAGCCAGTTGTCGACATCTGACAAACCCCCAGGTAAGCAGCAGTATAAGACGTGCTCTCGCGCGCGGACACTGTCACACTTCGCCTCTGTTGATTTCCACTTGACGGTTTCTCTTTATTTTTTGTTTCATTTTACTAAGTTTAAGTAGTTTGCTAATCAGATCGGCGAATGAAGTCAAACGGAGGTATTGACTGTCATTGTTTTTGCGCTTCCGATGGCTATTGGCCGTCTATTCTATCTGCGTTCTCTGCTGTAAATAAAGAAGGTGCAAGGATCAATCAGTCCGCGGTGAATCAGCAGGCTGATGAAACCACTTTATCAGGATCGTCGCCCCTTTTCTTGTTTCTTCTATCTTTAATAAAGAAGTGGGAAAGATGGGAGCTCCGACTAACTGCGATTTCTTTTACCATCGTCGTCCACCTTAGTACACTGCCCGATAACAGTATTGTCGTATTTGGACGATTCGAACAGGGTCTCAGCCTGACCAGTCAACATCTGCAAGTAAGTTGTCAGTTAGTCAGTCAATCGTATGTTGTTGCCGTGGCGGAGGAAGCTAGTACGTGTTTGTTATCGACATCGTTTCACTACAACAACAAGACACACACACCCACGAATAGCACTAGTAATAGTGATTGTTGTAGTAGTGAAAGCTTTCTGAGGGCTACTGGCTCGAGAGCGTTTCTGTGTTTCACCCGTGTCGTAGTCCCCTGTTCGTTCGCTCTCTACTATCCGCGTGTGTGTCGCGTTGTGTCGTCCTACATGGATCCTTTCTTTGTGTTGTTGTCCTAGGCGCCTCCACGAGAGCCCACTCAGTCAGCACTGGCGCCGCCAGCCAGTCAGCCAACACCACTGTAGCTCCTGCCCTGCGCCAATGGCAGCAGCAGCACTGCCACGCACTCCACTACCCCAGCGCTGTACTCCCTTCGTTTCGCCCCGCGCCTGCTTTTCGCTTGCAGTTACCACCGTCAGCAACACTCGCCACCACGACGGCCAACAGGCCATCGAACAGCAGTTTCAGGCCGGCAGCCGGTCGTACCCAGCCAACCAGCGCTGTCAGTCAGGCAGGCAGCCACCCGGTCACACAGCAGAGACGCGCGCGGCGCACAGCCACTGGCCTATGGATGGGCCAGCAATCACACAACGAACCCTCGAGTACACCACTCTCGTCACTCTTCACACGACGCTTCGGCACACGCACATCTCAACCCAGTCGGACACAGACAGGACCGGCGCGGGAAGCGCCGCTGCCGCTACGAGGAACCAGTTCGTGCAGCTGCTGTTGGTCTCAGCTATTGCTGTTGTCGTGGCGCCAGTGGCCGCGGTAGTGTAGCAGCGGCGCCGCCGCCGCCGCCGCCGCCGCCACCGCCGTCGTCGTCGTCGTCGTCGTTGTTGTCGCAGCCGCCACCAACCTTGTGGGCCTGGCTGCTGCCGCTGTTCGTTTGTCCTGGTCGTTCGGTCGTTCACTCGACGGTGGTGAGAAGCAGCAGGAAGGATGTGAACAGATGCGGAGCCGCGCGGCCGTTTGGTTTGTCGACCGCTGTTTCGTTGTTGTCAGCCGCCGCTGCGAGGAAGAAACAGGGCACCGCTACTAGCGGCTACCAACACCGCGGTGGCCAGAGCGCAAAAGCAGTCACCGCTACTGCCTTACAGTGGTTGTTCAGCGATAGAAGCCAAGCGCCATATCTGCCTGTCAGGAGCAGGGAGGGGGCTAGCAAGCCGTGTACGACGTTGACTCCGCCCAGCGCTCGTCGTCGTTGTCGTCGTCGTCGTCGTCTGACTCCGCCTCCCGAAAGGGCGGTCGACGGAGGCGGAGAGTGATGGCAGCAGCAGCGGCCAGAGATGTACTACTGTGTGTTTTACCACCGCTATCAGCATTGCTGCTGCTTCAATTCTGTCCCATCGTATCATATGGCGCCGCTGTGCTCCGTCCTATGCTGCTGTCTATGCTGTGCTGTGTTGTCCATGTTCCATTCGTCGAATCTCTGTAAAGGAGAGGTTTACTATGATGGTGGCGAAGCCAATGGCAGTGTGCATCGATGCCGCCCGAACAGCAGCATCCCGTACAGCGTCAGAATAGCGGCGGCGACGCCAGTAGCAGCAGCATCAACAGCTTGCGTCACCACAGCCGACGGCCTCAGCAACAATTCCCTTCTCCGTTTTTCTGTTTCTATGGAGGCTGCTACTGAAGTCGGATGTCGTAAGACTGAGCCCTCATCGCTAGGGCGCCGCCGGCACTGCCGCCTACAACGAATGCTGAATGGAGACAACGGTATTGACAACGTTAGTAGTACTGCTATTGCTACGCCTGTGGACGGCGATAGAAGTCATGGCTGAAATAGTCCGGAGTTGACCTAAGCCGCCATCTTGCCATGAACTATGGGAGTTCAGATTCTTCTATCCTTTTCCTAGCAGCAGCTAGTGCTCGAATAATTTAATTAAGGGCAAGTAGACCGGAAGGAATTCAGAAATTTGCCGGGGAAGGGGCAGAGCTCTAGAGTGAGACTTTAGCTTTAACTAACAACGGTGGAAAGTAACATCGAATTTTAGCTCAAGTGTGTAGTGAGTACTGCAAGTTGACACACCGCTATTACTTTACCTATTTAAATATGTATAAGTTTGCATATGGTTTTTCGTGTATTTGATTATACATGCCACACTACTTTTATTATCAAGAGAAGGTTTACTCTGTAGCACAAAATTTATTTTTGAGGATACCGCATTACTGATACTTCCCACAAGCAACGTCTGTCTAACTAGTGATCACCCTTTCTAACTTGTCCTCTGAATGTACATCTTTAAATAAAGTTTGTGACATGGTTCCGCTTTGAAATTTCAGCTGAAAATGGGATGAACCATTAATATGAACCGATGGTCTAGCGGTCAAGCGCCACAGAGAATCATTGTACAAAACCACGAGCGAATTTTCGCGATGTAAATTGTGTCTCGATTCTTATCTGAGGGCATTGCAGAAATGAACGTTGAACTTCAGCTTCCTAGTTCTCAATTCATACCCTTACATAATATAATTGTACCTTCATAAACACAGACAAACTATACTCAAAATTTCTTTCAAAATACGGATGCCGGCGAAATTGAATAAAATTCGCATAGTAAGTTCTTTTTAAGATATGATATTCCTCAGTTAAGATTTATATGTCAGTTATAAATACATAGGAAGAATGGTATATAGTTGGTACAGCATAACTGAGTCGGGCATTGGGTTAGGGTCAGACTTCAACAATCGAAAATATGTAGTATTAAAGATCGAGGCCACTACAGAATGTTTGATTTCACACTGTAAGTCCTATTTGGGACTTTGAGCATACAAGTGTTCAAAACACTGGACCTTGGTCAACAAATAGGAGAACTTATAGATATATATATATGACAAAATAAAGCGATATACATATATATGTATATAATCGTCTGCTGCAATAAAGCTACTGCTTTATCTAGACGTTTATGCCGTTCCTCAATGAGGAGATCGCACCTACTGAAAGTGTAGAAAGGCGATTTTAAAACAAACACGTTTCAAGGGTCTGTTATGGCATTATACAATCGATCTGCTTTTCATATCGCTATCGTTCGAGAAGCAAAATACCTGCCACTTCTCTGAACTGAACAAAGCGATCGTTATTTGTAGGACAGAGCTAATAGGCTCTATCGAAAATGTGCCATAACTTCTGAAATCACTTTTTTACAATTTTACAATACAAAGAAATTATTAACAATAGCTATGAATGACGGGGGTCGTATTCCTTTTTACACTACAGAATGCTTTTTATTTTCGTGTCAAAAAAAAAGTTTGTCAACTTGAATTCAAACTTCAAAGTTTGCCGAAGAGTTTGTCTTATGCTTAAATATAGGTGGCTAGCCATATGGGTAGTAATTTGAGATAATAAGAACAAATATTTCGAGCAAATCATCTTCACAGAAATCCTAGATTGATATGAAATATCAGATTTATGTAATATCAAATTGTTATTAATCAATCATTAACACTATTTAACTTATGATAACATAAAATGACTTTATGAAACGTATATAATGATGATAAGGCATTAAGTATAAAAACTTCTCTAGCTTTACCCAGAAATCGTCTAGATATTTATGCCCTAGCAAATTTATAATACATACTCTACCTTTCATAGCATCGTAGCAAGATGCAATTTTGTGTTTAATGATATTTACTTGACATCTTTGTAATGGAGTCTACAGAAAATATCGGTGGACAGACAACTTCCACCTCATTATTTTCTGTAACAAATGGTCCAATAGTGGAAAAACGTTTTACTTTTAGCACTACTTCCAGTAGTCTATTCTTGACTGAATTACAGGCCTCTTTTTCAGTTGATACGACGCATTTGCTTAAGTTTTGTACCGTTCAAATTAAAACAGATTCAGTGAACAACTATAAACATGTTTACAGCCAAATCTCACCTTCCTTAGAGACTAATCTTCACAGAAACTTGGTACTATCAAGTTAATCGTAGTCGTTTCCTCTAAATATATATACACTTTTGCGATTTTTTACACACCTCACACAAGCCTAGAGAGAAGATCGATCGTGGAAGTTACTCAGCATGAGTTTCTATGCATAGGTCATCACTGCTTTTGTTTGCATTCGCTGTTTTAAAATACGGCATTCGCTGTTTAAAAATAAAATAATTATTTAAAATACCGTTTTTAGTAAAGTTATAGAATACGATCTTACATGATGCGTTCCCAACAAAACGTTGTTTATGACAGCGTTCGTCTGATCCTCCGTGGTATTACCCTTTTTCATCACAGGTAACGAAGCGTTTGTTTTAAGGCTGCGCAGACTCGATAAGCTATTATTATATTGATAATAAGCGATATCACCATATAAAACTGGTAAAATCATCACAGGGTGTGTGTGAACACGTCTATGTTCTACGAAATTCCCTCACAGTTTCCTTCTTGGCTACTGGCATTATTGATGCCTGGTTAGTCAAGAGGTGTTTGTACGTTAACGTTTCTGCTCCAGTAAAATAAGCTTGAACGGATATCGCGACTATGAAGTCAATTTTTATAAGCCATCTTGAATAGTGAACCTCCTCCTGTGCAACATACTATATAGGAGTAAAAATAACAACAACGGTAATAATATAGCGGCTAGAAAGAGCAGGGGTACCGTTTTTATGCACTGCAAACTTAACCCAAAAGCGTAGATACAACTATCTAGTCAGTCCTTATTCGTTTCTTTTTTTTTCTATAGAATACTTTTTTCATTACTGATCATGAAAAGGAACACTCTACAGTGCTCGATAAACAGTCCCTCGTAAAATCAAAATCGAGTACAAAGTTTAGGCAAAATTCAATGAATAAAAATTAAATCATTTTTACATAGTGGATGCTGTTCCACTGCTAGATCAATTAGTCAGAAGTATTTTACCAGGGAAACGCATTTAAGGTACTGAAGAATATTACTATACAAATTCAAAAATTAGTAGACAGGTCTGCACGTTAGATTTTAGAATGTTGGTGCTGCCCAAATGGTCTACTGGCATTAAAATCGGCACGACACGTTACCTTTATTAGCACACGACGGATGTCTCGAAAAATCTTAATACAACAAAACACCCAGATTACTGATCATGTAAAAATAGCAGAACCGATCAATTCTCGTACCAAATCAGCATACCTTAGATCCAGTATGTCTGCCTTTTTATATCTAAAATGAGGCTGCTGAAATGTATAATATACCATTGCGCATTCAATGTCAGTCCGGTTAAGTTGAATTAACTCGAACACTACATAGAAATAGTGTTTAGTTAAATGCAGCAGATAGTGATGCGGTGAAACAGGCAAAAATATATCACATCATATTTACTTTCCACAGCTCGTGCCACGATATCAATAAAATAGGTAGAAATATACTGATATTCGCTGTCGTTAAATCTTTTACTTCGCTCCTAAAAGGATACATATTTGAGATAGTTAGCCGGTTCGTTGATCTGACTTGGCTACATTATTTGGAATGATATCTATAGCGTCTAGTTTTACCATGTTTGCAAATGCACTTCTTATAATTCATCGTGTTTTACAAACCGGACGATAAAACCCATGAACTGCAAACCTGGTTACTCCTGTAGTACGTTTGCAATTATCACCAGCTATCGCTGGCGACGTAAAGAACATGGAATCCATTTTCGTCCCTTCAAACCTGTGTCTGTCCATGACGATACGATAAGCTACAATTTCGCTGTAAATGAACGATGAGGTATCGGCTAAAAGATACATCGGGCGATTTGGGTTTGAAATATGAAAGTTACTTTTAGGTACGCAGGTCTAACTCGATCTATCATAGTTAGATCTTGGGTTAGCTTCCTCCAGGTTACTTGAATGCCATTAACGGCAGCTGGTGCTATTTTCAAATTGAACAGGGTGAGGACAATATATACCTAATAGTTTTTGGGACTCTCTAATAATGCTTATTGCTCTATAGAAGATTTCCCAGATGTTGTTGAGATTAAACCGAGGTGCATAAAGGTCTAAACTGTTCTCAGGCTTCCTTTATCCAAATGATACGAATTAGCACTTGCAAACCTGCCCTCTCGTTTGAACTTCATGGCTTCAGTTTTTGCGTTATTTATTTAAAGGCAAGATTTGTTAAGACATCGTTGGCTTAAAAATTCTTTTTATGGGACAGTGTTCTTGCTTGATTTGTGAAGGCAAATGACTGATAAAGAACGAGAACACCAGCAGGTTTAGATGGCCCGCTTGGAAAAATTCCGTTGTCTATTTGATACCGATTACCCCATCCGCGACTATGAAGACATTTCTTTGCAAGATATTTCTTAGGAACCCGAGCACAGTGGGTGGTATCCCTGTACAACAAGTACGAAAACATTAATTTAAAAAATATCAGCGTTCCTAGTGATCCATAGACGAATCGGCGGTGCGCCGAATAGTTTGCCTAAATTAATAGTTTAATTTCTCCTGAATAACTAAAAAATATGTCAGGTTGTTTTTAGAGGATAACCGGGTCAGGATCTAGCTCAGAATCGTAACAACTGATGGCTTAGCACGCCGCCACTTCGACACGATTCTAGGTGCCACTGTGGCTTCTATCTTAACATTTATGTATTATAATACTCCAGGCAAGCATATGAGGCTAAAGGAGGTACATGGGGCACGTAGCGCCCTCTGGTAGAGCCCAAGCGAAACACTTTTAAAGCGTTCTCGTTTTATAATAGACAGTTTCAATTCAAGCAGGAATGAGCCGACCACAGTGATGATAGAGAGAAAGTAAATAAAACAAATTGTGTTTTGAAAAATGTTTACTTGGCCGCAAATTTGTATTAAAATTTGAGATACAGTGCAGTTCGTTTTTGTTTGCGTGATAATAGGTTCTGCCAAAATTGAATCCAAGGTCTTCGAATCGGTCCAAATGCGGCTCCTTCATAGTTGTAGCTTAACCTTATTGTTTCAACCAGTCTTCTGCCGTCAATTGTATCACCGGATCCGTTAAATCTATTCTATCTTGGCATGATGTGCGCTACATGTTAATATTGATATGTCAATCGGCGGTTACTTATATGGGCCACGCTATCTGTGGGGGGTACGCATGCATATATGTGTACACTTCTTAATTACTATAGATTAATTTCATAGTAAGAATGTCCGCGCCTTAGCATATTTTCGGACGTTTACCGTCGCAGCTAACGATTACATTCTTGTTTTCGCACATTAACAATCTAGTGTCATGTACAGATCCAAACTTTTTTCTTCAGAGGTTATTACAAGTCTCGGACTCATAAGTCCGAGACTCGTATATGTTTAAGCTTTGTAGTAATATGGTCACCGACCAAGAATCCAGTTTTGACCTACAACTACGCCAATCAGTTGTAGAAAATATGGATTACTTATTACTGCGAACTCCTAAATTTCACATAGACTAACGCGCTCGCAACATCTTGAATACACCTGAACCTGAATGATTCAACGTATCAGTTTATTACGTGCAAGTCAATCACATAAAATGCGTCCATCTCGATCTTCGAATACCCTCGCGCTCCTGGAAAGGGACAATGTACAAAGTGTCTAATTTTTCATGTAATAGCCTTTACATTTTTATGCAGCACAGCGACGTAATAGCCGGATCCATGGCCGCTTATCGGTTATTTTCGTAGGCTAATTTTTTTCATTGTTTTCTGAAACCACGAATAGAACCATTTGGAAAATGTACATAAAAAAAAACTCAGTTTTACGACCCGACGCAACAACTACTAATAGACGTTTATTGTTATTGACGGTGCATGCAAACAGCTTGTTTGGGCTTGATGATCTTTATCTTCGTTTTTTGTCGGTTAACTAGGTCTTGACAAACCTTCGATATATGCACACATATACATAGATTATAGTTCCCAGTTGTTCCAACTGGATAACGTTGTTATCTTTTTCATTATAAATGTGTTATTATGAATCATTCTTTTCCCTTGCTCAGGGGATACAAAATGTCAACAATACAAATCTTCGCTGTACGTATGTATGTACAATCATTACGCCACAGATCGCTTTGGAACTTCTCACGATCAGACCGCATAACCGCAAAGACATCAATGCAAATTTCTTGCTTATCACTTTCGTGTTGTTGGTGCTATCTTTAGATTACGAACTCGATCTGACTAAATTAACTTGACCTTATATCTATATGATAATCCAATATGAAGACAATTTATTGGTCCGAATCGACGCATATGCGAACAAGTAAAATTGACCCAGGCCTATTATTGAATGCTGTATGTTTTTCCTGCCACTATAATTTCTGTCGTTGCAATGCCTAAAGCGATGACAAACTACAAATAGAGATATTTTTTAATTTTTAGCTCTACTATATAACAGGCTACGCCGTGATTTTCATAATTCTGTTCACGAGCTTTTACACGTGGGTCGAGCACGAACAGATCGAATACATTATAGTTGTCATAAACGTACGTCGTGATATACATAGTGTCTACGCATAAATTCATTTTGCACTCTTGCGTGTCTTGGACTGCACCGCCGCAGAGCTTGCATCTATTTCCAGTTTTCTTCCTTTTATTCAACATTTGCAGTATTACACGGTCATGTGGGTTGAAATCTATCGTTCTTTCATTCGATAGTCAGTAACACATCAGATACATATATTCGCTTTCTCAGAATAACATCGGGAGGCAGGCATACAGGTGCAAACACAAATAAACCGAAGCGAACAAAAACGGAAAGTAAAGTTTCACTTTGGCCGAAATTGCGCGGCAGGTAGGATTTCATTTAAAATTGTCGACCGGCCTTTTTTTGAATTTCACAAAAGCAGTACAGAATTAACAATGCACGTGCACACACCTAGAAATATCAAACACAGACCTTCAGGTCGAAAAAGTTCACTATGCGGTTCAGTTTCTGCGTTATCAATAAAGGATTTCAAGAGCAGATACAAAACTCATGAAAATGATTTTCATTTTTCTAGGCGCTAACAGCGCGAAACGTAGCTCTGGAAAGACATCTGACAAGTCAGAGGACTGTATCTAAGCAGTAGCATTTTGTTAATAACCAAATAGACAATGTTCGCATGTTGCAGATTGCACTTTAGCGGTACATTTCCTCCGTTTTACGTCCTGTTTGCCTTAAAACACATAATCGTCCAGCTCAGTGAGGCTCATATTTAATATCATGTTGCTGTTCCGGCTGCACATCAGGCGTGTCTGGCCTTGAGTTAGCAGAGCGCGCCGCCGGACTTCCCGCGTTCTGGTTTCCCTGCGCAGCCATAACGTACTGGACCTGCTTCTGGCCCATAACGACGACCTTTGTTGCTGGGCCAGAAGCTACCCCAACTGCTGTTTTCACTGCCGTACCACTCGGGGTTCCTGTAAAGCAGAAATACATTCAACAGTAATGCCGGAGTACTTCCAAAAATGATTCAGATCGAGCGGAACGGCCAAAAGGGTTTGCAGGACGTCTCTCAGTGTTCCTACTTACCCACAACTCGGACAATTTGTTGGCTTGTAGATGTAGATTGTTGTGATACCGTCTGCGCACGTTGTGTGATCAGGAACTTCTGTCCACTGGACGTCGCTTGACCTATTGAATTATTTGTTACCAAAGTTGAGGTTGATCTTGCAGCGGGGGCTACAGATAAACTGTTCGTGCCAGCGGAACTGCCGCTTAGTGGAGTTGCCTGTTGAACTACTCTTGTTGTGTGGGCTACTGTTACAGGTGGTCGACCGCCGCCTGCTCCAGAACTTGCCGCTGCCGCCTGGGTACGAAGCCGAGTCACCTAATTACAAATCATCAACAACAAACGAGAATCATCAATCAATGAAGGTACATCTTTGACGCCTAAAAAACCTACGCCTACATGTTCGTTACAATATTTAGTGCGTTTTCACAAAGACTAAGTCACTTTAAATAAATAGAGGGTACATAATTATTTACTTAATGATGCTCTCGCTAACTAGAGTACCTACCTGCGCAATCAAAAAGGGTCCAAGGTATCCGAATTCGGAGCGGAACTGCTCGTGGTTATCGGGTGGAGATCTCGTGGCTTTCAAAACTGGCGCTACGACTCGCACAAGGATCTGTTTAGCTTGTTCAGCTGCTTTTTTCTCACTCGATACGACACCAGGCTCTTCGAGGCATCGCCGAAGACGGTCTGAGATTTCCCGGACGCGCGGAATGAGTAGGCTACGAACTACTTCCGTACCCAGTTCACCGAGAACACTAACCGCTCCATAGATTGAAGCGAGCGGCATACGGTCGTTCATAAGCGCTTTACTAAAAGCCTTCGTCACACGAACTTGGATACCGTTCGTCGACGTATTGAAATTTTTACATATTTGTGCCAATAGACGAGAAGCGAAGTCGCGAAGCGCCCAGTGGTTGTCAACTTCTGGCCGTGTACACAGTTGTCGACTCACAATACATGTGGTCACAGAAGGTATGATCTCGTGCAGGTATTTCTCGAGATACAACGACTGGTTGTCGAGTAGGGCCTTTACCATACGGATAAGATAAATGAGAAAGGCAAGATTATACTGGACAACGTTTACTTTTACTCCCTCCGAGATGAACGTACAGAGTCGCGGAAGCATCTGGTGAAGGCCAGGATCTGAGCTCAATGATTGAAGAGCCTCAGCACGCCGCGAATCATCTGATCCTACGCACGCCTCCGTAATTTCCTTATAATACAGCTGTTGTTCAACCGATAATTCGTGTGTTGCCAGTTGCTTGACTCTGCAACCAATTTGAGACCTGAGATTTATCATATGATATCTACGTATATCGTTATCTCTGCTCATAGTTCCCAAGCAGAGTAATTATTTACGTAAGCGACTGAAAAATAGGCACACATAGTCCACTTGTTGCATGCAGATGAACTGCATGGACAAGCAACGATTAAATCACCTAATTATAATTAGTACCTGACTGTTTCGACGTGCTTGGCAGTCCTCTCCGCTTGCTGAGGTTTACATAGTTTCGAAAGTGGATCTAGACTTTCTTGCCGTTGCTGATCTTTCGGTACTGGAGGGGGATTGTCGGCTATCGTAGGTTGGATGCCTTCAATAGAAAGCCAATGGGTCTTCAAGCTAATGTCAAGTGGAAGTTTCGGAAGAGAACCAGAAACCTGAGAATAATCATTCGGAAGAAGCAATACACATTTAATAAGTAAATTAAAATGTTGAAGATGAAGCTGACAACTAGATTCTCCTATCTTCCTTGGCCTGCTTCTTTAAATGGTACAGCCTTATATATGATGATTTAATGTCTTCTTAGTCATAACATAGTCCATTTTATTTTTCAAATAGTAATGTACAGTTCTACTTGACATTACTGTGAGAGTAGTAGAGATTAGAGAGGTTTTTGTACTGTAGGTACACTGTATTCAAGCTGATACTTTGGATGTAGATTTCATGAACGGATGAAGGAATACCTACCAGCTCGCCAAGATCGAGCTCCTTGTCTTCATGAAAGTAGAGTTCGCGACCACCTCCGCTCGCAAATCGGAATGGAATAAAATGTGGATCCGTAAATCCATACAGGGGTTCGACATTCTTCACTCGCAATGCATTGTCCAGATCAAAGGACGTCATCCTTTTCCGTTTGCCATGCCGAGTGAACTTAATAGCCTGCCGGGAAAACCACAAACTCGGAATGTCAAAACCTGAATTCAAAATCTAATAGGGTGACCGGAATCCTCTTAGATGAATAGAAACAGAATTTCTATCGTGGCAACGAACAATATGATGATCTCATGTAGCGTTTTAAAGCATCATTTTCAGGCACCTGACCGTCAATAACTAAGACGAAATTTCCTAAAAATTGAGATGTATCTCAATTTTTCATTCAGTGTAGCTCTGCTGTTTTCACAATATCCAACAGAAGCTAAATTTCTCACAGGCCATTGCTTTAAAAAAAGGACATTAAAATGAAATACCAAGGCTTCAATATATTCAAACATAATTCAAGTTCTAAGTGCCATCCAGTCAAGATACCGCTCCTAGCCTTACGTCAACGTACATAACTTTATAAGTAAATAATAAATTATAAGCGGAACAATATCATAAGTCAATCTATTATAAATTCGACTTACTCTTCCTGGAATAAAACATAGTAAGCAGCTGCTACGATGACAGTATTCATATTTTGCAAGGCGAAAACAGCCTGGTACGCATTTATTTCTTATTAGGTTCTTTAAAGCATATATATATATATATAACCTACATATTTTCTACCACTCTCATCTTAAATTACGACATTAAAACCTGCATTAATAACGAACCCAGGAAATCTCAAAGTGTTCAGTTGTTCCAAAAAGAGTATGAAAAGTCAGAAATATAGTTTCTGCTACTTACATAAAGAGAATAAGCTTCACGAAATTCAACAGTGATCTTTTAAACCACCAAAATGTGAATGAACGTTAAAAATAGGTGTGTTAGACGTAACCATACATTCTGCTTAGTCCTATGGCAAGATTCTTTGTTGGTGGATAATGCATAATTTAAACTTACGGAGATTATCACATTGAGTTGAATATATTACGGCCCATATTGGAAAAGGTATTCAAGTTTCGTCTGCTGCAAGTATTGTCCGCGTGTCAAACCGCACCTCTGACCTTATTATCAATTATCTTTGGTTTTGCGGATTTTTAATGTTAGAAGACTAGCTCGAACGATACTGCTCCTTATGGTGCTGTTTTTTACGTGATTACTTGCTCGAAACTGAAGAAGGCCTATACAATGAATGTAAGAAGTACAATGGATCTTATTGAAGCTTGCCTGGTACACGAGGCGCGAGTTGACTATGGTTTATCTAGGCATGTCTTCCAAAGTAGTATTCGAAAATTCGCAAAAATCGCGAAAATCCGAAATTCGCAGTCGTTTCGCAGTTCTCTATTAAACTACAGATAAATTTCACTGATAACTAAGGACTACGTGGTTGTGGCGCCAAAAGTATAGCGCTAAAGAAAGTACCTCCTTAAAATTCTGTTATACGTGTATCTCAGATCAATCCCGATGTTTCACAACAAAATCAGTTGCACGCATATGATTGCAGAAAAAATGCTTCTAATGTATGCCTCTCTCGCCGTATCTGATTGCAGGCGTTATATATGCCATCAACCGATGAAAAAGAATTGACTCTGTTCTATACAGTCTTGCGCTCCACCCCAAAGCAGCAGTATAGGTATTCACCAATGGTTTGCCTTAAAGTAACCAGCGGCCAACAATGCCAACCAAATTACAAACTAAAATTAAGTAAAGGCACCGCTTGCATTGATCACACAAGTCAAACGATCGTCTGCTTATCGCAAGTGCGGACCAATCTAATGCCCAACTCCGGTAAAGATTGCATAAAACAATGTAACGAATAAGAATATTAAAGATGACCGCCTAAAATCACCAGCGGGCAACTCTGAATTGATATGTTTCACGAATGGGGAATTATTATTGAACATTTTCAGAAATGACGAATGTTTGACGAATGAGAAAAGGTAGGTTTTTTTTGTTAGGAACAAACACGGTTATTGTCGAGGAAAACTGTTCTACCGTGGTTAACATTCAACTGATTCCACTCCATTTACTTGGCTACTAGGAATTGACAGCAGCTAACGTATAGAAAAGCTGACGAATGTGCTTCATATAATATGCACTTCTCGTAGAGGGCCCTAAGTACCCTTGCTTGCTATCATAGACGCACTTTCACGTGAGCCTATCAAAATAGCCAAAAACTTAAACGTATGAACTTATATATTTTCACCCAGTCGTGTTCCGACCCATTCCTGGCAGATGCCATACGATTAATGTCATTGATAGCTAATAACATTTACACATATGATTCAAATGATCCCTCTGTTAAGTAACAAACGTAATCTTGGATTAGCAATAAAAGTTAATATCAAAACTGCTAATGTTCAAACTACCTCAATATCATGATTTTCTAATGCAAATTGACTAAACAAAGTATTATTTAAAATGTTTACAAATAAGTGTAAAGTTAAAGAAAATACAAAGGATAAAACCTTGGAAGTGTGGGTGACGTTCAAGCTACTGAAGTTCGTTTCAGGAGAGATGCATCATGCAAGTGCTACACCACAAAAAGGTAATGCTGGAATCGATTAGAGCAATGTAGACTAACTGATAATAAAATAATAATGATGGCATTTTGATGGCTCTGATGAAAATAACAGCGTTTTTTTGGCACAATGTGCACATTACAAGATGCGCATTCCAAAACTCGCTTTGCATGCAAAGGGCGAAGACAATCGGAGGACACGTCTTTCAGCCCCATATCAATATTTCAAACTGTTTCTAAAGTTAGCAAGATGAACCCTTAAGGCTTTTCACGTTTTTTTGAATATGCAGCACCGGAGCTGGAAATCATAGATGATGTCTCTGTCCTGCGCAGAGGTCTTAACCGATCCTAAAAGTCGACCTGCTGAGCGACTACTTTGATAGCAATGTACAGGAATGCCCCGTAGCTTTACACGTTTTGCAAGATTACCTGTGCTCATCAAAGATTTCCTGCTTGAATCAGTCAATCTGAAGCACTCGTCAACAATAAGTGAAGGAAATGGGTCCCAAGAGAAATCTCAACTTTCAACAGTCTTAGCATTGTTTTTCAAAAACGAACGCGTTCAGTGCCTTACTTCTACTACTCAGCAAGTTACCGAATGCTCACAGGACACAGTACTAGACAAAGTTTTTTATACTATTTATTGATCCGATCAATGACGTAATAAATAGAGGGGGCAGCAATTAGTGTGTACTAATGATGTCAAGTTAAACATCCCAATTAAATACGCCGAGAACCATACCATATCTAAAACTTATAATTTGAAACTTCGTGAATAGATGAGATTTGCCCTATTAACCCTTAACTGCGATGTGTTTCATATAGGCAGTAGAAGTTAGTTAAAAATTAATTACATATTCAGAGGAACCTAGTTAATTAGGCCTGAAGTTTCTAAGGGCTTGAGTGAGCCGCTTTTGACGTTTTATAAAGTTCGTGAAAAAGCTGAATTCGTAAGCCAAAGATATTTAGGGCATTTAGTTCAAAGCCTACATTCGGTTATGTGAAACGGTGTGATGTCCATACTATGCCATTGTTTCGTTGTGTATCCGTAATCAATAATCTGCTCTTGTTCTTATTTACATAAAGGTGGGCGTAGGTTCGAATCCTAGTTTAGACACATTTCTCCCTGAAAATTCCAACAGCCCTGACAGCATGTCCTTGAAACAATACTACACAGAGCTACCGAGGTATGAGTCAGCTGTAAAAAAAATATTATATTTAGTTATGTAAATTTACTCGTATGCAACGAGTATCAGTCAATGAAGATTCAATGAAATTCGACATGCTGATATATGGTTATACAAACACCCCAATAGTATGTGTGCTTTATTCAAAGCTATTAGCCATTCCAGAAAAATTAATCACCTATTTTTGTGGCAGGTTGCGTAATTATCAGTTCATGTTATGTACTAAATTTATGCGCCAACGATAATTTTACGTTATGTTTTAACATGCGATATAAAATTCTTATCTAGATGTATATATTTACGTTAAGTGAAGTCTGCTTTATGACGGATAAAAACATATAGCTTCGCTCTCTCAGCCTCAAATGGTAATTATTTTTATGGATCGATAAAATCTCAGTAAAATGTCACCAGTTCATAATAATTACATGATAATGGACTTTCCTAACCACGCTTCTTTCAAGTACTAGCACTCACTGTAGGATCCAAACAATGCTTAATTTAACTGTTAAAAGAATGCAAAACAGGTTCATATTGCTACATCAACTACGTACCTAAGAATGTACCAAAAATCGATAAAAGGTAATTCGATTAAAGAGTTTTAATTAAATACTCATATTTAATTTTAGCATACACAAGCTCATTGAGTGTTAGCAATTAGCCGAGCCTACTGTATACATGCGTACATATAGGGTGTTATAAGAAAATACGGTTGTTTTTTCAAGGTATACTTGATTATTTACATTAATTGAACTTTTAACAAAAATTTTATAAAATGCTGTTGGGAAAATGTACCACACGCACGTAAGATACTGAAAGTGTCAGGTAAAACCACAATTAATCGCATCAAAGATAAGTTTAAGACATACGTTCCCAGATGACGTTGAAGAACATCAACGAGCTTGAAGAAATAACAGTAAAAAGGTGGAATGAAACATCCAAAAAGTCTATTCGACAATCAAATTGTGAGCTTGGCATCAGCGTCTATTGCATTTCAAAACGTTATAAATAAAAAAAAAGTTACATTTGAAAAATGTCACAGGCTATTAATTCCGGATAAATGAAAATGGTATTGTGAGTTAGGAAAATGCGGAAAACACTAGTTTATAGGGAGGATCATTCGAGCGACTTCTTGGGGAAGCTACATTATAGTTATACGATACAAGTGACCGACATGACTGTACCCACTGTGAATCCATATATTTCGCAGAAATACTATGTAAATTTAGCAGGAATTAGCAATTAGGAATTAGGAAGCAAGCGACTAGCGTGACCATTTTAAATGGTTAATTTAATTGGTCAGTTAATTACATTTACTGGATCTGTTTTACCACGCGTGGTTTGGAATTTTATTTACAATAGAACAATGCACTTGCACTTTATTATCACGATATAAGAGCATATCTTGATGAACACATCTTCGAAACAAATGGGGGGAATGAGAAGGGCTTAATTTTTTGCAACTCACATAGTAATTGCATGTTAATCAAAACTGATGTTATCATTTCAACTGTGCATAGATTTCTTGAATCCCCTATATACCATATGTATATATATATATATATATTTTATACATTATTTGTTATGCATGGTATTCAATCAATGTTTGCATTAGGTAAAACAACTTTAATATAGTTATCTAACTTAATACTAACCGATACTGTACTAATCCCTATGATCTATTCGAACAGTACATTGACTAAATTTAATTTTAAGTTAAAAACTTCCAGTCTTATCTTAATTCATTTATGTGCAATGCATATTAGTGTTAATTCGTGTATATCGTTTTACTACAGTTTGTTTTAAACATCTATAGTGCACACGCTTGAAACCAGTACAGGCATACAGAAAACTGTCGAACGCAAGAGATGACTGAACAATCGAAGTCACCAATCCGGTTCATTGTGTCAAAGAACTTTAGCATAAAACATCTAAATATTCTGTGACTCGCACTTGTATATATTCGAAGTATCCGTTAAAAGTAAAGGTAAACACTTATCATGATTCTTGCGCGGACTACAGTAAATGCACTGACCGCTTCGCTAAATTGCTTCCATACTTTTAGATTATACGTACGCTGATCAATTGATATAAAAGTGCAGCTTGTAAAATCTAGTTTGCGTATAAGCGTTGTTCAAACCGCACTACCTAGGTAATGAAATGGTTACAAATGAAATCAGTTAATACTGAATTAATGTCTGTAATAACTAAAAAAAATGACCTAGCTAATTATCACACCTCTTGGATGATGACCCGTAACCGATAAGTAGCGTCTTCCGAGATCTCTCTACAGGTGTCTTCTGGTAGTGCTGTTACTCCCACTGACTCGGCCATCATCTTCACCGACTCGACGCTCAGCTGACTCACGGCTCGCTCCTTCGCCGACATCCTGCGCTCATCAAGACGCATCGAACGTCGGTTACGGGGCCTATTCCAGGCCGAAACTAAGATTGAGCAGTAGTTTGCATACCGCAAATAGGACCGTCACCGTCAAAAACGGACGCACAATAGCACTTTTAACTAAACACAGATAATGTGGCTTACGATGTTGCTATTAAGGCAAACAATTTTCTAAATTTCAGCCTTTTTTAAGATGTTATAAACAGATATTTCACCTACTAGAAGTAAAAATGCTCAATGGCCATGGTCGCAATGACCAAAAAGCATTTACATTTCCTGTGTCGGCTTGCTTTGTGTCACTTGCGCGTCTGTGAATTTGTCTACTTCGTTGGATAATAAACACTTTTGAATACTGTCGATAGAACAACAATTTCAAGTTCGCACATTGAAGGCACGCACCTCGCATAGCACTCACAGCTACCGCCACAAACTGACTAACCGCTAAGCTGCCTCCTGCTATCTAGCTCTCTCCAATGAGCTCAAAATACCATCGCACAATGAACGCATCGCTCTACTGCGCGGGCGGCGAGATCTGCTGTTTGAAAGAAGCGTTTTATCAAAGTCGATTTCAAGTTATGTCTATAGTACAACAACGTATTCATTGAAACGACTCATCTGCGGGAAGTTTTGAGTTTTATCATTTTTAGATCGGCCAGTGAACGAGTTCGTACGGGTGGATTGTGGTACTCCGGCGGTCCAATTCCTTAAAGGCTAACCAGTGAACTAAGCCGAGCTAATATAACGAACGAACATTTCACAGACAGCAACATTGAATATGGCGGCGGACCCTAATCTTCTCCGAGCGGATAAATCGCTTGGTTTGTTAACTACGAAGTTTGTGGATCTTCTCAAAGGTGCTCAAGATGGAATACTCGATCTCAAGCAGGTACGTAGCTATGATTCAAGCATCGTTTTCTGTTCTGATTTGACCCCAACTAGTCACCGGTACTTCGGCGGGAGCCGATTCAAATTTGGGTTGGCCGCGTCTTGGACCCGAATGAAGCCGCCAAGTTCAAATTTCACCCCTGACATGAGAACGACGCCAGATGGGCGGGGGCGATCCTCACGGTACTACTGAAGGAAGCCCCGATCTAAAGGAAATTAACGCCATCAACAGCAACGCTCGACCAGGTGTAGTCATATTTGTCAACAAACCACCTCATCTTGACGCTTAGAGTCAGCGACGTTCGATTTGGACGGCGCACCCGCCACAAACAATTGTGTTATGAAGGGGTTTGCAGCCGTTCTAAGCGGAAGATCACGGGGTAGCCTTCATGTAGCAGTTCCCGTAATAGGTTAGTGGGTAACGTATTTGCCTGCTAATCTTAGGGACACGTGGTGGTCTGGATTCGAATTCCGGCATAGACATACTTCGTTTCGTGCAGGGAGCCACCAGCCTTACGGCGGCACCGACGTAAAACTCAAAACACATAGATTTCAGCAATGTGCATTGTGGCACTGTGCAAAAAACGAATGTATCTTCAGCAGGAAACGTTTTAGCAAAAGAACCTTTTAATACTTACTTTGGTTAGCCGGTCAGAAATATACGGGGGCGAAATCCTAACACAAAGGCACTCACTACAATGTTGTTTTGTTTAGGGTCAATAGAAAAATCAATAAAGAGAAAGCAAGGTAAAGATGTGAGTCGAACATCAATAATCACAATAAGACGTACAGTTGATCATGGAGTTCTGGGAGGAACAAACCTGACACTTTCATGAACCACCCTGTACAGCAGTTAAGGCAGCGAACTAAGAGATGGCGTAACCTTGTTAACCATTAGTGCACTTTATGCCTGTTAATAAGATAACTATATATTTACTTAAGGATAAGAAAGGCGTAGCACTTCAAGTACGTTACTAATTTTTGATAGCAAGTGCGCGTCTTTTAAATGCGGTTGCAGACAAAATCATTACCGTTACATTACCTAATGTTTATTCTTACTGTCGTTCAGATTAGCGTTACTATCAAAGATTCGTATCAAGTATCTTACGAGAAGTAAAACAGACCGTCAGTATCGTCTAATATCACAAAAAGAGCTATTGTATTTTTCAACACCTAAATTTTTTTTTAATCTCCTGGCGGTGATAGAGTTCAATGATGAGACGCTGTTGCTCATTCCTCATCGTTGAGATCTTGAAGAAAAAATCAGTGTGAACTTGTTTAGTGGATATCCAGATTCGAACATGGGCTACTTACTCATAGATGCTCGACTGATTTCACGTAGACGAAATTCTACTTTACGCCAACAATAGCTCAGACTGTAAGAACAGCAATTCCGGAACGTTTTTTACTCCAACATTTCAACTAAACGTGGCTTAGTTATAATTACTAACCTAAAATAACAAATCCCAGCAATCGAATGACTTGATAGAATAAACATTACATGTTGCTCCATCTTGTGAGTTCGGCATGGTTACTCTAATTCTAAGAAATGGTTATTTATAAATTTTTCAATACCACAATTTTACTCTACTTCGTATTTCAAGTATAAATTGAGGCTAAGCTTTTTTTATAATTGTTTAGGCTGTGGACATTCTCGAGGTTCGGCAGAAGCGCAGAATATACGATATTACAAGCGTACTGGAAGGAATCGGGCTAATTGAGAAACGAACTAAAAACTCTATTATATGGAAGTAAGTGATCTTTTTCGTATGCTAGAAACTGTTGAAATGCTATATAATATGTATGTATTACTGTGCAGCATCAGAACTACGATGTTTTCCGACCAGTTATTTTTGAAACTACGTTAGAGGACTAACGAAACAAAACTGTGTACTTCCAAATCTTACGTGCATCAAACGCTCCTTACTGCTTCGTTTTTTGCTTTTTTATGTAGGGGCGGCGGTCCTGGATGTAACACGGAGGAATTGACACAGCGCCGCATCGAGCTCACGGCGCAGGTGGAAGAGCAACAAGACGTAGAAGAGGCGTTAGATGAACATCTAAAGCAGGTGAAACAGTCCATTCTCAATATTCGGTAAGTTTGTAACTGGTTTACTTTTTCTTAATTTCTATTTTCTTCAGTAAAACGTGCAATTTTGTGTATAAAATAAAAAAAATTGGAGCTTTTAGTGTAAAATAGCGGCTTTAGCCAGCCATTACTTAATTTCTAACCATCATTCTCATTATACACAAGATTATTTGTAATTTTAATGTTTAGGATAAGTTATATCTAAGCGTGCATCTTTTCCCTTTGTCAGTGCTGGGACCCTCCAGTGTTTCTGTATAATGTTGTTAAATTTTTTATTACGCCACATTGTAATGCATGTATACGCCTACTTGGATTCTTTATTATTATATTCTTGTTTTCAGAGAGGATATATCAAACAGAGGAAAGGCCTTCGTAACGTACCGTGAGCTATGGGATGTGATGGGTGGCGAAAGCTTGTTAACACTGCAGGGACCTTTAGACACAGCAGTAAAGGTAAAAAGCCACCCTTGAATGGCTTTTTCCGATATTCGCCAATTGAAAAGAGTTAGAAGCTTTCATGTTAAAAAAAGCTTCTTAAATTTTGATAAAAGAATTAACTATCATCGTTGTTATCTAGATTAACGGTTGCGTTTTGGTAAAATCGGTAACCTATTCTTTGAATGAGAGCTGTTGCATATTTGGTTCTTTCTTTAATCTGTTCCTTTTGGAAGGCTTTAAGCTATTTTTTTTTAGATAAATGAGAGTTTGATGGATTGTTTAAATAACATACGAAGTAACACGGTGCTTGTTTTAATAGAGCTAAAAAAATTCTGAGTTGACGTATAACTATTTAGCGTTACCTATACTCTTCTTTCTCTCGTTTAATATAGGGAAATGACAGAAGGAGATTCCTTCTGAGGTCTTGTGTCGCATACTTTTTACCTTACAACTATGTCACAAAAAGTCTATTACAAATAAAATACTAAAATATTGCATGTATTACTTAAATGTTTCTTCTTCTGCTTTACAGGTGATTGATCCACGTTCGGTTAGGGATAAAACAAACAATGGGTTCTGGGTACAATGCCGAAGCGATATGGGCCCGATTGACGTACATCTCATTGATCGCAAACCGAACGCACTGGCGAGTAATATAGCAACACTCGAGAGAAATAATGACGAAACTTCGACGGGTGGAAACGGCGAAACAGATCAAAATGTAGGCGACGCTTTAGACAGCCTAATCAAGGAGACACTTACTGACACAGAAGCCGCACGACTTAGCCCAGCTAAAAAAGTACGAACTGACCCACCTGAAGAGGAACAACAGCAGGTATCGCTCGTGTGCTGAGCAACAATGAGAACTAGATAATTATAAATAGGTTATATATATGTATACATATATATGGTGTTTTTTGTTTATTGTCACGTTAACTAACTATGTATCCTGATCTGGAATATGATAAAAGTTGCCCCTAAGCCCCTGTTTGTTGATTTTCAGGCTACAATATTCATTATCAGAAATATCCAATTAATTTAAGCCTCGTTTTATAGGTTATTCTATGGTAGAGGATAATAAATAATCTGTAAGAAAAGTACTACTTTTTTAACGATTTGCGGAATCCAGATTGTCCATTTACAAAAATAGGCCAATTCCGAAAGTATGGCGATCGTATTATCCTCGAAAGTAATAGTAGCAGCTCACAAATTCATGACGCACATAAATATATGTTTTGGGACGGCAATAACTAGGAAATATTTTAGTCGGTTTTTAGTAGCGTCGAAGCCATCCAAGGAAGGACGGCATCTTTAACTTTCTAACCACCCTCACTCACTATCGATTTTTGTTTAAGACCCCTGTCCGCAAACGGAGAAGTTCAACAGCGGCGAACGAAGGTCAACTGCGAAAGCAGGTCAAGAAGACAGACGACGACGACGACGATACAACTGTTATCGGCAGTACTCAGGTCCCCAGCGAGGAGGAACCGCACGATATTCTGAGGGTATTTTAACACAATTTTTTCGTTTTCACCCTGCTTCAGTATTTTTATTAGGGATATATGAACACAGATAAATTCACTATATATCTTATAAAGCTAGTAGTTATCTATGTACTCCACAAAATTCAGGGTGTTAAGGTACTACTGCCATTTTACACTCATTCGTTATGAACGGCATGTCTTATTGTGGCAGCTTACCATCTCAAATCCACAACGAGATGGCAAACTTACTATTTAGTAAATTTGCCATCTGCTTTCAATAGTATCTTACGCATCATGTCAAGCTTTACAACAAACGTTTTTGTTTATTTTTGTCCTGTACTTTTCAGGCATTGATTGAGTACGATTCACTATTAACGTCAAATCCACCGCCGTTTGTCATACTCTCACCTGCGCCTAGCGAAAACGACTTTAATTATACGCTCGATCCGGCAGAAGGGATCTGTGACTTGTTTGGCGAGGAGTAAAGTGAGAGGGCTTTCCAAGCTTCTTTCGGCCATTGTGCAGATACCGTGACAACGAGGAAAACTAAATTAGTTTGCCTGGCTTTTTCCCGTTTGTTGTAGTATATAATAGTAATTTTGTTGCTGTAGTTTTTGCGGCTAGCCCTTCACTTTCTTGTATGCACTGCGTGAGCAAGTTGATTAAATTTTTTCCAAGCAAGCACGCAAATAATTGTAGCACTGCTATGCGTAGAGAGAGTTGGGCAACTTTCCTATTTCGTATAGAAACCTCCCTCTAGAACAGCATCTCAATGTAAAAATGAACATATGCAATTGTCGTCAGCGAGACTGTAGCAGGCAGTCCGGCGGATAGCTAAAGGATTGGGGAGGGGTATAACATTTGATGATGTATTTATTAATATGTGTCGGTGACCCGGGTGTTCACCACGTCGTTTAAGTTGTAAATACCTACAAAAAGATCACATGTGAAATAAATAATGAATGAAAACAAAGTATCACCCCTATACCGCCTCTCCATACTTTTATTTACATATAATATATATATATATATATACGCTTGTCTGGAAACAGCGTCTCTGCGCTCCATATCTGTGCCACGATATTCAGTGTCCCTATTATACCCACGATAATAGTATAAACTTTCCACGCGAGAGCTATCTCTTCCATTTTTTTTTATAAAACTTTAATTACAAAACTACAATGGTACCGTGCTCCACGACTTTGTAGATTTACAACAACGTTGTAGAACTACGTTGTCGTAGACATTGGCAGGAGCTGTACGGATTGAGGATCAAGTGGATTGTAATATATTCCCAACTGGTTGACAAAGCTTGGAAAACGTGTTACGCTGTCAGAACTGCTTTAACAGTTCAACGTTTTACTACGCAAGATTAGTTTGCTAATCTGCTGCACAGAATATAATATTGTGTGGCCATGTACTGTGCTGGACCAGCGTGGCCATCGGTGTGGAATAGTCTGGTGTCTTATTAAAACTTCGACTAATTATCATGCTGTTGGTATACGCTTTCATGACCAAGACGCCTTTTTAAAGCTCGGTGCGCTTGGCCGGATTAGGTTCATCGTCTTCAAGAGACACATCAGATAGATCAATATCCTCTGGTTCTTCCAATTTGCCATCTTTACCATCCCAAGCTTGGATCGGTTCGACCTTCGGCAGTTTGGCGCCCGCTACAGGTGCGCTACGGCCTCTTCCGAAGGACACCTCCCGAAGGAACTCACTGATGCCGTCGAAAGAAAAGGAGCCGCGCATAAGCGAGTATTTCATCTTGCGCGAGTTGACCACAGCTAGAGCTGGGTAGCCAAAACCGCCGATTTCTAGGGCCTCCTCGAGTTTCGGCTGAGCCATGGCCTCGGACCACAACCAACCCCACTTCTGCTTCTTGAATTTCTCCGCGAGGCTTTTAAGGTCAGTGATGAAGTTATTACGGCATTCCGATTGGCAGTCAAGTATGTGCGGTAGAACGGCCACCACACATAGTTGGTTATCAGTGCATGCATCGATGAGTAGTTTTTCATTTGTGAGCTGAATTACTTCAGGCGGTGGAGCGTTTTCGAGCGCTTTCTCCGATGCCCAGGCAACGATGTCATCGGCAGTTCGACCACCGTTATACTCTTCGGCAGATGACCGATCCTTTGGTCCAGCCGGGAAATATTTGATAGTAGGATATCCGCGAACGCCATATTCCTGGGCTAGTTCTTGGTACACAGTAGCATCAACCGCACCGAGTTTCACTTGACCCCTCAGCTGTGTGGCCGCTTTAGCCCAGTGTGGTGCAAGATTTTTACAGTGACCACACCATGGTGCGAAGAACTCAACCAGCCAAAGATCTTTCGAATCAAGGACCAGCTTTTTGAAGTTCTCTGCGGTTAGTTGCACAACATCTTTATCATTTTCAGATCCTCCTGTCCCAGAAGAACCGCTAGAAGAGCTTCCTCTGCCAAGCCTCTTGTTGACAACATTCTTCAGTTCTCTCAGGGCAGCGTCAACAAGTCCGTCAGCGGTACGTGCTCCTTGATACTCGATGGGTTTTGAGTTCCCAGGAATAAATATTTTGATCGTTGGGAATCCACGAATTCCATATTGACCACCTGTTTAGGACCAATCAAATACAGATTAGATAAATAGAAAAACCCAGCAAATGATACCGATACCTACGAAAGAATAGTACGATTATTAAAGGACACGGTTTATCAATTCAGAATTTTGTTTAGCAAGAGATATTGTATTGAAGTGATTTTATCTTGCAAAAGAGAAGAACTAGTTTCGGAAGAACAAAGCTTCCAAGCATTATTTTTTAAGACCATCAGATTCCGATTATCACCGATTCTCTTTAAATATTACGAAATCAATGGTAATAACAGACCGATTGATTTATGTTGGTCCGCGTCGATAGCTCCAATTTTCACAACGCCTTTGAGAGCTCGTGCTGCTTTCTTATATTCAGGGGCCAGATTTTTACAGTGACCGCACCACGGGGCGAAGAATTCGACAATCCAGACTTCATCACTGTTTTGCACCCGATTTCGGAAGTTGCTGTCTGTCAGCTGTGAGAGATAAGTATTATCTCAATTACTATGTCGAAACTTCTTGAAACGCGATGTTATTAAAGACGTAAAAAAACCGATAGGAACAAACTAGGCCAACTATTTAGCCCTGGCCTAGGTAAAACGCTGTCAGCTTGTATTGACACTGTCTAACTAATCAGCTGAGCGGTCACACGTTCTATGCGGCAAAACATGATTTTTAATGACTTGTCGTTCTCAATCGTGTTTTTACCGTAAATCTACGAAAAATCATTTCACGTTCGAAATATATTCCTGAACTCTACTAGTAAAATCAAAAGGATCATTATCATTTAGGGGCCAACTTGGCCTACAAGTCACTAAGAATCAAAGGTGTTGTAGTTCTTAATTAGAAATGATATATATATATAAGGGTGATTTATTGCTTGTGTTTTTGTTCTGTAAAATCAAGGTTTAATAAAGGTGTAATTCACGGGCAAAATAAAAAGGCGTAGAATCACGGGCCATGCCGTACACGTGCGCAAAAGCATGGATGTTATATTCAATAAAACTAACAACAAAGACAAAACAGAACCAATAATTCTAAACAAAATCTTTCTAACTTAGTCTTAAATGCATCGAGCCCTTTATTTGCTTAATTGTTCAGTAATCCAAAAATGGACAAACGTATGCGAGATAACTATTTCCCAAAGCGTTCATTTAGACCCATGAAGCAGTTCTCCGAAAGAAGCACTAGTACGGGTAAAACCACTCTGATAGGATTTTGGTCCTTCGCCGTTTCCAAATATGTTCGTGGCCCTAGTTTACACGAGTAACTATTCCACCGAGTTGCATTAACGCGCATATATCGTATCACAACAGTCAAGCAATGCAGAATTCTCTATATTCAAGTGACCCAAAATGCCTTTTGCTACACAACAATAATACAATACAAAATACTTATTGCAGGTTGAGTTTAGTTTCGCTAAGCCAACGTGTACTTTTGACTAAACCCTATACATAGCATCTATAAATAAAATCGCTGTATAAGAAAAAAGTTTACGCAGATGCATTTAGGATTAAGGATTTCTGCTTATACGTGGCAACAGTCAGAAATAACAGAAGGGATTGCGCATTAAACACCATCCCTTGGAGCGCGATGCGTCAATACACAACCATCCATGCTTCCCAATGGAGCTAGAGATCTAAGGATTGCACTGCAAATGCACATACCTCAACAACGTCGTCCCGTGAGTCGTACAGTGCCGCCGCCCTACATATCAAGACAGATACCAACAAAAAGACACACCTCATCATTTTCGAGCTCCAGTCTTAATTACGCACCTTCCGAGGCTACTCTGGCTAAACTTCAGCACACTCAGAACAACGCTATGCTGCCTTGAAGGCTGTTCGTCCAAATGGTGCTGATTACGGACTAAACAAACCAACCGGCTTCTTTGGCGTGTCAGCTGCCCGCGTGGTGAAACCCTATTGGCTGTGACGTCATATGGCGGGAAAATTTAAAATTGGCTTGCATAAAATGGGTTATTAGGTTATGGAAACTGTGATAACTGCTAGTTCTTAATATTATTATCATCATACCTTTAATCAATGTATGACGCACCTGTAATTACATAAGCGCAATAAAGGACGGCCTAGTAAAAGATCAAAGCTAGAGTACCATTCAACAAAATCATCATTAAGAGAATGTTTTTGCTGACAGTTAGGAAGGAAGTGAACTATTATTCCATATTGTAAAATAAGTGTATCCACATGTAGAGCGTATAGTTTCTGCTGTGAAATCGCCTATGCAAAAATCAACAAGACACATTTCCTGGCGTCTTTGTTAGTTTTAGTTATTTGTCAAATTAAAATCAAGTCGCTTCCGTTAAGCTGGCCTTTGTTCGTTGCTGCCATTCATTTCATGCTTTGAATTGATGGCATTTAAGTATCGTCGAAAAATGTGTAAATGTAGTCCATTTAATGGGGTCTGTGTGTAAAACTGCCTCCCTTGTCCACAGCTGGGTGAAACCGTATTAAGATTGTGTAAAGCATGATACCAATGCCTGCATGCTGGGATACGTGAGATTGTCATCGAGTCTACACTTAATAGTCTGGAATAAGCGACGGTCTCCAGTTTTCCAACCTATCTGCCACTTCTGACTATAACCATTTCTTCATTGTTTCCGCATTGTTGCTGTTTTAACTGTCCATAAATCCATATCGTTCTGCTCTTTCCTCCATCAAAAAGTCTTTGGACCACATATTCGCTAGTAGAATCTATGAAACAAGTGTTACTCCACCTATAGTCAACGCGATCAAATTTTGAATCGTTTCTTCAATACAAGAAAGCGTATGCTAGCCATTTTGGTCTCGGTTATGTTTTTGAGCTGAAGTTTGAAGCAGTTAGATCAGTGGCACACGACTGATCCTTTAAGTCGAAGGACAACAAAGGTCGCCGTAGCCGGCGCAGCTATAGTGTTAGTTCCTGTTGGTAAACGATCAAATGACATCATCAAATGTTGTTATCGTTTACGAACTGTGAGGCCATACATGACTTTGTAGCGAAAACATTTTGTGTTGAGTCTGATTTATAGCAAGTGCTGTTAATAGACTGTACGGTACTCGAATGAGTGTGAAGGCTACGTACAGACAAATGCTGTGTCTTTTTAAGGAAGGAAGACTATGATCGTTTATGGACCATCTATCTGTTGTTGACGTTGTACATAGTAAAGATAGTGGCACAACAGCGCGTCCATTTGGTGAGCTGTTAATGCCAATTGTGATATTTGGCGCTATGTTTCTTTAAAAAAAAAAGTACGGCATAAACTAATACTTTTAAATGAACCCGTTGTATAGAGATTAAGGTTGATCCGCAATATGTGCCAATGATAACAAAAGTATGATTAATAAAGTTCCATCGTGAAGGCTCCGGCGAATCGTATTTGCGCGACAAGAATCATTCTGTATAGCTAATATATACAATCGCGTTTTTGTTAATGATTGTTATTTCGACCTCATTTAGATACCGGACCCAAAACTCAAACATAAAGCGTGCAACTTGAGGATCGAAAACATATCATTCCAATTGCTTCCGATGAAGTTGGTTTCTTTCTTTCTGTTATGCGTTTTATTGCTACATGAACAACATGAAAGCAATCTCCGTTTATGTAAACTTGCATTTATTAAAATATCCTGTATGATTACTCTGCTGCTGTATAATAACAACCAATTATGGTATAGATTATTTGCTCGCAACAGTAGTGCTCTGTGGTTTTTTTTGTTGTTCAAGTTATTGATAAGCGCTTTTCTAGTTATTAGAATCGCTTAGGGAATAACAAAATACACTTCATAATATCATACGAACAAAAAATTCGATATATATATATCTTAGTTGGGTGAGTCATGCAAGTGGTGCTAGCTCTACAAGAAAAAAACAGCATCCTTGGTTAAGCGTAGTTTGCCTTATATTTCCATGAGTAGATGTCATTTATATATTAGCTAGAGAAAACAATTGATGTAGTAACTGCTGAGATTGATGCCACATCTATGTCAAATTTAATAATATTGACAACGTATAGTTAGCTCATTCTGGATAATGTTTAGTGAATTATTCATTAATAAATTACTTTATGATGTTAATGTTTGTGTTGTCATATTTATATATGAAATGAGGTGTGCCAAGCTTCAAGTACAGTGAGACCATCAACCTAGTCAAAGGCTACCACCGGCAGAAACACCGGCATTTTATCCTGACTAAATAGCGTAATTTTTACGGTAAGTTTATTTTCGATTTTAGCTTACCGATGAGCCAGTGTGAACCCTTACGATGCATTTTTAAGACCTTCTTCTGAGTAGATCATTTTTTTTAATTCCTTTATCACATTAAAGCTAACTGATGTCACACTGCGGCACTTGAGTATAGTACCGTTTTGCAAGCGAACGTTCGATTAAAGCAGAAGGCAGTTAGAAGCTTGTGTACGGCAACTTGTATTTCGCCTCTGTGTAAAAATCATTACAATAAGCCAACGATGATCGGTCGCACTGTCCTCAATGCGTGGCGCTCTAAGGCCACTCCTTCCGTGTCGTCGTCGTCGTCACCGTCGTCGAACCTAGTAAAGCATTGTCAACTCCTTGTGGTAGGAGGAGGTTCAGGTGGCTTGGGCGCGACTGCCGTTCTCGGAAACAAGTTCAAGACCATCGTCGTTGAACCCGGCGATTTTCACTACTATCAGCCGTACTTCACTTTTGTTGGTGTCGGACTTAAGCAGCTGAACGAATGCCGCCTGCCAATGCGAAAGGTACCTGAAAACAACTGGATTGAATCTTAAAAACGTTTATGAAAACACTATGTATTAAATGCTATGTGTTAAATAATTGCCAGTTGATTTAGTTGATGAATGATAGAAGGAATTTAACGCATGACTATCTAGGGCATATAGGCCAGTTTAGTTTAATTTTCCGTACTAAATGCGGTTATCAAAATCGACATGTAACGTGTCTGCGTTTTAAATATATATATATATATATATACACACGTACACAGAACTTCCCGGGAAGTCCCGTATATGCGACTGAAGCTAACATCGATACTTGTCTTGTATTTGCTGCACACTTTGATTCCTATTCTCTGCTTTTCTTTTAGGTGATACCGCTCTATGCGCAGTGGATAAAGGAGAGCGTATCTAGTTTTGAGCCGACACAAGATCTTGTTATAACAGACTCTGGGACAATAATCAAATACGATATTCTTATCGTAGCTACCGGAATTTATCCAGCCTTTTCAAAAATTCCCGGCCTTATCGAAGCTTTAAAAACACCTAATGTCGGTTCTAACTACACTCCCGAAACGGTGACAAAAACCTTTAGTGCGTTACGCAACTTCAAGCATGGCAATGCTGTCTTTACATACCCATCGACGCCCATCAAATGTCCTGGTGCTCCACAGAAAGCCGTCTATTTAAGCGACGAGTATCTACGAAAGCAAGGAAAGCGGGATAAGGCGAATCTTATTTATAATACAGCTAGCGAGGTACTTTTTGGTGTGAAGAAGTACGCCGATTCGTTATGGCAGGTTGCCAATAAAAAGGGCATCAAAGTAAACCTTCACCACAAGCTTGTGCAGGTCGAACCAGGTCAGCAAAAAGCTATCTTTGAGCAGACACAGGGAGATGTGAAAAAACGAGTTTCAGTAGATTACGAAATGCTTCATGTCACCCCACCGATGTTTCCTGTAGAGGCCACTGCAAAGAGTCCTTTAGCTGACAGCGCAGGCTTCGTCGATATTAACAGGCGAACGCTCCAACACAACACGTTCAAGAATGTGTTTGCCATCGGCGACTGTACCGCGCACCTTCCAAAAACTGCCGCAGCAGTCGCTGCCTCATTGGCCATATTAGATGAAAATGTGAGGGCCTTTAACTCTGGCAAAGACATCAAAGCGTATTATAACGGATACACATCTTGTCCACTTACTACTGGCTTCAATAAGTGTATCCTTGCCGGTAAATATCTTGTTTTAGAGAGAGGACATCAAATAACAATCAATCTGTACCTATCTTCCATTAATTAACCGAATCTAGAAATGCGCTTAATAATTCTTTGTTCGTGTTTATTACATGTAGCTTGTATTCTTGCATTTGTATTATATGGGCATGGCTAGCGTGCATTGAGTTTTTCCTTTAAGCGATTAATAAAATTGTTTAAGAACCGCTTGTTGGGCACGGCATCCTTAGGACATCAAAATTAACTTCGGTTTGCAATTAGGCTCAAGTTATTACGAACCGCACTATGAACCTTCTTTGTGTACTTACGGCATAACATTGAACGCTTGACGAGCGTTCTAAAAATTACATCCGCTCAAATAGGTTTTGGCACCATAAGACCATTACAGATGGCAAACTAGCTTTTCTCAAAGCGAAATTTTAGAAAGAGACGGATCTTCATGTTAAATCAGTAGCAGGAGATAACATTAGGTTGCGGCGGGACTTACGGTTATAATTACTAATGCATGATATTTTTGTCTACATTAACTTTGTTACAGAGTTTGATGGTTTCACCTCAGAACCCATGGAAACTTTCCCCATTGATCAAAGCAAAGAACGATGGAGCATGTATTATATTAAACGAGACGTTATCCCTGCGATATATTGGAAACTGTTTGTCAAAGGGAAATGGACGGGGCCTTCGACTCTACGACGCTTGATGCGCTTCGGATCTTCGTAGGAGTCTGTTATGTGTAACTATGGGCCATTATTAGTATTACCTTCCCGGCCCCTTTTCACTATCTGAATCCGTGGATTCAACTGGACTCAATACTACTTACGCGTGATTTGGGGCAAGAAAATGATACCATATGTGCTAATATATCGGGGGCATGATTGTTTGTTGTTTGCGATTTTTATAACAGCACCTACTTAAACAGTAGTAAGGAGTATGATGTTACTAAATGGTGTTAGCCAGTGGTAGTGTTGTCCAACGGGCCCTATTAAGTGTTCAGTTACTTGCGTCGCACTGAAAACATTTGCTATATAAATAGGTTTGGAAGGCTACAATGGCCTCCCAAACTTACTATGTAAAAGAGGACGGCATATGGCTCTAGATATGATCGTAGATTTTATTTTGCCAAATCATTCTCGGTCAATACGGTGTTATCAAGGGTGGAGCCCCTGCATGTTTCTATATGAATCAGAAACTTTATCTTACTCGATATGTCTAACGATTTGAAAACTACATATACAAAAAACAACTACTATTATTTAAACGAACATTATAATGCATGACTTCAAAGCCTAATTATAAATAATTGGGTTTTGAATTATTTTTATGTTATTAATAAGAAAAATATATAACGTAAGCTGTTACTTGAGTTATTACTCGTGTTCAACTTGTTATTACTTAGATAAATGAAAAAGAAATGGATTCTTATATGAGTTGTCTTCCAATAATGCAGGATACGGACTTTTAAATAAGACTTTACACGTATTTGTCGTCGAATTATAAAGGCGCATGTCGTATAATCCTGAAGGGAGTGTACCCTACCGAACAGGTCATTTATGTTTGGCCTTAATTAGTCGATCTACATGAGGAGGCTAGAAATTTCTATTTTGTATCTTAAAAGACACCCTCCGGTTTGAGTTTGTATTTGTATGACTACCTTTTGACTACACTGAACCAGGTACTTCGAAGCATAATCCACCTGATAACAGAAGCAGCAGCTGCGTGCAAAACGGAAGAGAAATTGATCGTGCGTTAATACGACGGTCTTCGCAAAATGATGGAATACCGCCAACTCAATCTGTGGTAAATAAAATTACCGTTGTTTATGTAATTGTTTAAAATAAATTAAATGTAAGTGCAGTTCGTGAAGGCGTTGTCGAAACTGCGAGATTTGTGGACAGGCCTTTCGGAACTGGTTTACTTTACCTTTTTATTACCTTATATAAAGATATATGTTATTATGTCGAATTACATATAGAGTTGTTCTTAATTAATTAAAAAAATACTAACCTGTGTGATATTTTTATACTATTCTACGTAAAGAGAATGCTGAAAATCTTACCGAAATTTCATGTGTTGAAGTGACAGAAGAGATATAAATTGCGTGTACTACCTACTTGTGTTATCCAACACAATCCCGTACACTTCTCGCGTTTATGATCAGTTAGCGTCCTCGAAACGTGGCCACTCCAAGGGCTCCCATCAGACCCTTACCTTCTTGAACTGCCCCAGCGTCTCCCGTGTTATCCTTGCTAGCATCGTGAGCAGAACGGATTGCTTGAATCCTAGTTTCGTTTTATGTAAGCAGCTCTTCAGCCTCGTATCCAGAAAGCGGTTAAAAGGGCGTCTTGACTAGGCCCTCGCTGTACTATAATCACTGATGACGCGATTAGCTGTAGTAAGCCGCTCCTCTTGGCTACGACGAAGCGTCTACGTGTGACCGTGCTGATCTCGTACAAGAATTCTGAACGTCGGCCAGCTGTTAGAGTAAGCCTAATACAGGTCTATAGGAGGTAATCTTACATCTCCCGCGATGCGCCGTTCACATTGGTTGTTACAATCATGCAAAACCCCTCTAAAGAGCACCGCGAAGTTGGTAGCCCTTAAAAACAACAGCAGGCATCGCCTGTGCCGGCGTGGTCTGAGTAAAATAAGTACAATATCACCCAAACAGATTACGTCACTGTTTGGGGGCTTTCAGAGAGCCCTGAAGTACAGCCTATCCTACAAAGGGTTGTTTTTGCACCACATCCAAATCGAGCGTATCATGCCTCCTGGAATTCCGGTTTAGCTATCAGCACACCTCGCACCGGGTTATTACCTTTTGGAAAAAAAGTAAATCCGTCCGTTTTAAAAAATCTCTTTCGGGTTTGGGGGAAGTAAAAAATGTTCTTTCTACTTCGGTTATCAATTTCAGACCATCCTAAAACACGTGTGTTTCTACATGCGTTTCTACCTCTTGCAGCCTCGAGGTTAAATCATAGTACAAGTAGTCAAGGCTTCATTAGGTTTTTTAAATTTCGTACGCACTGTCGTGATTAGCGCACCGCAACATCGTTACGGTAGATATCTAGCACGGCTGGAGACCCGCTGGATTGTCGATGCACAATGACAATTATAAGAGTGGTTGACGTACCTCGACAGCTTGGCGGCTTGTCCGATTAGCATCTTCGCCCTCGTAAACCATTTCTCGGATATGCTTGCGTTAATGAATACGATAGCGTATGTAATGCCCGTTTTCATGGGAATAGAAGATCTCACGTTGTTTTAATGTGATATCTTTCTACAAAAGTTGTGCGGAAGCTTATAGAAGGTCATGGGAGCCTACGCTGCAAAAAAGCCGCCAGCCTAGCTAGATAGATTCTAGAATTGAGTATCTTGAATGTACCATCGGCAACATAGTGTTACACGTTTAGTTAGGTGAAAAAATGCTACCCTGTTAGCGATCCTTAAAAGCAAGGGCGACCCAACCGGACGGATATTATGAGAGAAAATAACGAGGAAAAGTGTTTTCTATTTGCTACTTTCCGGCTTGCTGACGAAAAACAATGAACAGCTACTCAGAAAGTGTCCATGCCATCTCAACAGAGCAACACGGGTTCAGGAAAAGTACTCCACAAAAACGGTGAGCAGAATTCTAATAGCAGACGTGAAGAACGCATTGGTTGCGTCAACCAATACGCTGTACGCGGTGTTCGTTAACTTCAAGCTAACATTCCATTCGGGCATAGGAAGAAACTCATACGCATGCTGGTTGAAGTGGGTGATTCCATGAATGTGCTCAACCTTCGTGCCGTAATTCTACAGAATCACCATAATAACAACAAAATAGCCGAACTTTCGCCTTTGAGACAAACAAGTGGCCTGGTTTAAAGAAAAAACTATGTCCAGTTTTGGTTTCAATTTTGGTAAGATAACCTTGTAAGTTCAGGCTCGGCCCCATCGGCAGCCACAGGTTTGGGGCTGATGGCGAACCTGACTGAGACGGAGGGGATTAAGTTTACAAGGGGAAGTAGGTGGCCGCTAATAGCTTGTACCTTGTGAGGTCACCTCTTGCCTATGATAACCGGTTCTTGTACTTAAAATTGTTTTGCTCCGCGACGGTAGCTTTACCGCGCTCATCACCGAAAGGTGCGAGAACCCGACGTTGCCTCATGAGCGATCAAATCGCTTCGTAGCTTGGCCTTCGCAGCGGCTCTCAGCTGGCTTGGCTCCAAGGTAGCTCCGATAATAACGTATTATTCTTTCTTCGTAAAGATCTCTCAGTGGAGAGCCTTACACACTTAAACCGCGTGGAAGCCTCCTTTCTCCAAAGAGCATCGGGAATGTATAACGCCCAAATCGTCTCAATCGACCCATATCCCCCAGCTGGCTCTCCGCTGCTACGTCGTTGGTCTGAGCTGTTAGCAACAGAGGCTTTTAGAAACAACCTTAAAAACTCTGAGCAAAAAATCTGAGAAATTGGTGGGGATCTGTTTGTTTCGGGTATGATGAAAAACAACGAGTGGCAAGGGACGAACCGACTAAACTGTCATATCGCCATTCGTATCGTCATGCATCAATTCCGTCGCAATTTGGTTTCCACGATGGTGCGTTAAGTACTTCAAATATGGGGGAAGCTGTAATATATGTCACGCTGCTCGTTTGGCCCTCATACCGTCTATAGGGTATCTGACAAACCCCTTAAATTCGTTTGATAAATCTCGTATAACCCATATTACGCCAACCAAATGTTTTAATGACCTTTAACACTTACTCTCATCTTGAGATATTGAGCGATTCACCTGCATATACGAAGTGCAACAAAAAAAAAAATTGTTTTTGCGATTGGTGTTTAACATCGTCGTCCATTAGTTCAAGCCTGTCCCTAAGACTTGGTCAGTGTTACCACGAAACTCTATAATCAACACAACTGCACAGCTCCATATCTGCTTAAATTATCTTGTGAAATTTGTTATAGATTCGATTAGAATTTGGTGGATTTAATAGCATATTTTCAAGTTACTTAAAATTCTATTATTAGGTTCTTCAAATATGAGGCATATGCAGCTGCTAGTTAGAGAGGCAACATAACCACACAACTATATTGCTGAAAATCGAGTGTCGACTGTCGTTTACTTCGGTTTATTCAATTTTAAGTGCAAGAACTTAATGAGCAACCCCCAATATAGTAATTATCGTATATATTCACTTTTCGCATATAATAAAGTAATGTTTCAATGCATCTAATTGCATACATGACTAATTGAGATATCTCAATATCAGGATTGCTATTATTGCCCTGTATTGTTAAAAGCCTATAATGAAAAATGTTTTTCCTTTTCTCTGCATTAGTCTCTTAAATTAATGCAGAAAATTCCTGCCGGCTGTTTTTTCTTCAGTTGCTGAAACCAATATTATGTGAAGTACGCCTTCATTAAAAAGCCGCGCGCAGAAACGTGTAAGCGGTTTTAGCCCTTACAACACCTATCTAAAGTATTATTTTGGAGATACCTTATGCTAAGCAAATACATATGAAATTGCTCTTACAAAAGGTCATTCATTCTATTTGTTCATTCTGAACGCTCTTCACTTTTGAATGAAGCCAAGCCCGCCTTTGAAGAAGATTTATGTAGAGACTCATTTTTAGAAGTCATATTTTTTATATTATATAGAATTATTATTCTATATAATTTCATATATTTATATTTTTACTTGCTAACGTTCCTGTTATGCATGGTAATTCAGGCTATTGACATGGCTCAATGGAGTTCCCCATTCATTGTGCGCAGGGCTTCTGGAGACACGCAATGACATTGCCCAACGCCTTCCATCGCCCGTTTAGGGTCTTTGTTCACCAATTTCTAAAGTCAGTTTCTTGAGCTGAGCCAACTTTCCAGTTAATAGAGCGTCTGACTTCATTAAAGGAACTTACTGAGAAGCCCCTTTCTATGCCTACTGAGGCATCATCTAAAGCCACTGAAATACCAGTGCGGAGCACTTCCCGCATTTTATTCTTTCTTGAGCCAGAATTTTTTGTATCGATCATGCACGGAAATAGCCTTTCTTCCATCGTGCAGGTCATCGAATATGTTCCATCACACTTCCGCATGTGCGAGCCACTTGTCTACTGTTAGTTCATTCCCTAGTGTCAATGTTGCCTACAAACGATTCATGAAAGTGGCCCTGCGCATTGTTTCGAGCTGACACAAAAAGCGACTCCCTCGGTTAATAAATGCTATTATGTCTAATATATGCAACATATTTATCCGATAAAAACACAGCTAAAAGGCAAGAAAAAAACGCGCACATAAAAATACACCAGTATAGCGAATACGCGCCGTGTAAGTGATAATGTACTATATTTAAATTCGTCACTAGTGGGGGCTTTGGTTTAGGATACCAATCGAAGCGAGGCGCTTGTAGTAAAGTATCCCGTCAGATTTCGGCTTTTTCAAAGTGCGATATCGGAGTGTCCTTCGAAGTTCGGCCCGGGACGAAATAAAGGACATAGCCTCTATTGAAAGACAGACTGAGAAGCGACAGACGGAGAGAGAAACCCGCCAAGCCTCTGCAAGACTATTTTCCGCTTGGGTTAGTTTCTCATTGGAGCTCAGCGTAACTGACCATTCGCTGGCCGCACCGCCGATCAATCGATAGCACGCTGGCTACAGTGTACTGACTGCGCTCATCAATACTGCTTGGAGCCTCCCGATAGAAGGAGCCGTATCTTCACCCAAAACAAGCATCGGAAGTGAAAAATATTACCTTTCTTTATTACGAATCGTCGTACGCTAGAATCAAACAAGAGAGTGCATATAACTAAGATGAGCCTACGAACCACTATGCGCATAGTTAACTGCAGTGCATTAAGTTAGCAGAACCGCAACGGTGGGTCAGTTACGAGGATATGCATAGTATGCTGATGGGATCCTAGAGCTTTTCATAGTATTTCAGATAGCGTTGAGCAGCCAA